ACCGTCCAACACCATCCCCATTTCGTCAGAGCGAGCGCAGTCGATGATGCCGTGGACTCAGCGAGCCACGCTGTGTATCCTGCATGTTGTGGATGTGGAGGCACGCGGTCTCTCGCCCTTGCGACTGGGTCTCCTGCGTGCTACTGCATCAGAAGGATCTAAGCTCGTGACGTGGACGCTAGTGCGAGTGTCTTGTGTGTTGCGCCAGTCGCTTCCAGCTTGGGGCGCGTAGCACATGTGTGCGTATGCCATGGGTGCGTCCACTCTGTGACCGCACACATGGGTGACGTCGTCTGGCATGAACAGTTGTTCAAATAAGACGCTGACGTAGGTGCAGTAGGTGGTCATGGCGATGATCGCAATGCCTCCTTGACAACTTACGGCTGACGACGGCCGAGGAGCTGAGAACTCGTTGATTGGGTGCAGATCGCACAGTGGGTCACATATTGAGCGACTGCAGCAGCGGCAACTGTCTTGCAGGTAGGCTTTGGCATGGCAGTGCGCTGGCCTAGACGACACGGCTACTGGCTGGCGCGTGCGTCGCTTTCGAGAAAAGCTGGTCGACGGAGATAGCCTCTCCTGAGCCGTAAACAATGAATGCATTGACACAGATGTCTGCAAAGCATTCTGGCAACCTTGACCTTGGGCAAGCGCGCCCGCTACCTCGAACGGTTTCGCGAACTTGCCAGTGGCAACGGACGGTGTGTTGTCGCCGCACAGCCGCTGCAGCGCCCCTGGCGCGGTATGCCCAGTGAAGAGGCTGCAGCCAGGACAGGTGAGAGATGGGATGGCGACGGCAATGTGTGCTGCCCGCGAGCATAGTCGACGCCAGCATGATAGTCACAGCAGGGTCCGAAATTACACACAGGGTCTTCAGATCGCGTGGCAAGTGCGGTGTATAATTCGCAAGCCGGTGGCTGCGCTAATGAAAACAAGGCCCTTGCGTGCGAACGCAGCAGCGAGCAATGCTGCTCGGATATTGCCATTATAATATATGTGCATGGCTTGCTTGCCGTCTGTGATGCCGTCGCCTCCTCCTCCTCCTCATCCCGCTGACGTGCCGACCGGGTCGAGGCCCCCGACTTCGATGAAGTGGCCCCGCCGTTGCCGCAGGAATCTGAACATGCCCTCCACGAGGTCCTGCAGATCCTCAGCCGCACACTTCCCAGGACGGCCCGGGCGGAAGATAGCAATCGGCGGGGCTCGAGGTAACCATCTCCATCTGGCGGTGGCGGGGACCGGCAGGAAGCCAGGGAAAACAGGAAGCCAGCGAAAGATGTTGTCTGTAGCGAACGTCCTTCCTCACCACCGCCTGCGACACCTCGCAAAAGAAAACAGTCCGACACACGCATACACACATACACACACACACTTTTGCGTGGGCGGCTCGACAGAGTCACTGCGCTGGCGATTGTGCGCAAGTGAGATGCACGGCACGCGAATCAAGCCGCAATGCACGGGGGAGAGAGAAAAAGAGGCCCAGCGCGGGCACGCACACAAACACACACACACAAACATACACATACACACACATCGTTGGGTCGCGATGCGTTGCTTCTCGTATGGATCACTCCCTAGAGTCAGCAACCTTAGCCTACGCCTGTTGATCCCTCCATCGACCCTCCTTGGAAGAGAAGGAGAAGAGAGATCGAAGAGGTGGGGGGAGAGGGAGGAGGCGGAAGAGGAACAATAGTGTACGCGTACGCTGCGGACGCGGCCCATGAGAGAAGGACGGCGGCAGCAGGCGGAGGAGAGCAAAGGAAGAGAAGCAGAAATAGGAAAACAAGAGAAATGGGAGCCCCGTCGTTCCCGTCGTTGTGATGAGGACGACGACGACGACGACGACGAGTGCGAGGACGAAGAGGGTGATGACGATGAGCAGCAGCAGCAGCAGCAAAAGAGGATAAGAGAGGGGGGAAGATTTACCCTCGATTTGAAGAACCCCTGCTACCACTCCGTGCAATGCTAGGAGATGCCGCCATGTAGAGAACTGTTTGATCCTGAGGTCACTCCACCGATTGTGCGAGACCACAGCCATACGCGGCAGAAGAAGCTACAAGGGGAACGCTGCCACCGCCAGCGGGCGATACGAATTCATCCAGAAATTGCGTCGCCACCAAAAGTAAAACAGACGCGGAGAGGCGAGAGAGCAGTCAACGGACTCTCGTTGCAATCGAAGCGGTCGCAGCCAGGGCCTGCGCAGAGCGAGCAAAGGTGGTCAGCAGCCCTCGACTCGGGCAGAGGAGGACGAGAGAAAGAGAAAGTGGGACACACGCAAAATCCACAACGACTCGCGCGTGTGTGAACCAGGCTTGGTGGACGGTGCTCGCACGGAAGCCCTGACGAGCACAATCGAGGGAGACAACGGGGGAGGAGGGTAAAGGGCATGAGGAACCAGAGGCTGGAGCACACGCCCGCCACACGGCGTGCGGTACGGTGCGGTGAACATCAAAAGAGGGGAGTCGCAGAAAGGACAAAAAAAAGCTTCACAAGAAAGCGACCAGTGGCAACTAAGCTTTGACAGAGAACAGCAGGAAGAGTGTATGCTCAGAGTCTCAGCCTATTAGCCTTCAGATCTGCAAGAAGCACATACTACAATCGCAATCGCTGACCTTGGTCGCCTGCCCCGTCCAGACGCTCAAATGAGATGCGTGCTACTACGAGTGCTGAAATATTCGAGGTGCTCGTAGTTGGAACTGCGTATCCTCTGGCGCCTGCCGCCGCTGGTTCCCACCGTACTGGAATGCCAGCAGCACTGGAACAAATGTGGGCGGCATGCCGCTACTCGTCGTGCTTCTGTACCTGGCCAGATAGTGGGTATTTGTTACGACCTGGTACCACTTGGTACGGCTTGGCGGCAGGGGGGACAATAAACCACCCTTTGACCGTCCTCATCGATGCCCCCTCATCGGCGCAGCCTTGGGCGACGGATGTCACTACGAGAAATGGCTGTGCCAAGCCAGAGTACATCGCACCTGCTCCTCCTCCTCCTCCTCCTCCTCCTCCTCCTCCTCTCCTCCTTCTCCTCCTCATCTCCTCCTCCTCTCCTGCCCCCTCTCCTCCTCCTCCTCCTCCTCCTCCTCCCTCCTCCTCCCTCCTCCTCCTCCTCCTCCTCCTCCTCCTCCTCCTCCTCCTGCCCCCTCCTCCTCCTCCTCCTCCTCATCCTCCTCATCCTCCTCCAACTCCTCGCCCACCTCCTCCTCGTTCGCCTCCCCAGTCCTGCTAGAAGCCTCTTCCCCTCCTGCCCTAACTCTCCCCGACCCTCATCCTTCACATCCTTCGCCTCCCTCCCTCCCTCCCTCCCTCCCTCCCTCCGCCATCCCCCCCCCACAGGGCAATGAGCTGCCTCACCGTCGACTGCGCCTGGCGCCGCGGGGCCAGGAGGAGAACGCCTCGGCGAGCGCGAGCGTGCCACCGCCGGCCCTGCGGCCGCGGCTCCGAGCCTCCTGGCCGCCTGACGGGTCGCTGGTCGCACAGCCAGGCGGCGCGTTCGCGGCCCTCCCTCCCCATCCTTCCTCCCCTCTCTTCCTCCCCCCCCCCCCCGTTCCCCTTCCCCTTTCCCACCCAACCCCCTCCGCCGCCTGCCCTCTTTCCTCCCCCTCTCCTCCCCCTTTCCAACTGCTCACGGACACTGCTCCTGGCCAGCCCAATCCTGGGGCCATGATCAGGCCACGCCCGGCCAGGATGGACACTAACCTGGGCCAAAGATGGGCCTGGCCAGGAGAGGCGTTGGTAAATAATTAGCGCGATCCGCGCTGTTCGCCTCCCCTTCCCCCACACCCCTCCCGGTCCCAATGAGCAACAGAAGGGACCAGTCCCGCCGCTAGCCCGTGTGCGCAGGAGGCCTTGCAGCGGGCGAGGCAATCGCACCACGTGGCGACAGGACCATGAGAGGCCTGACAGTCGCCATCCTTGGTGGGCTGACAAGCTTGACTGAAGCCATGCGCGTGCACACGGCTCAACCAGGACCGAAAAACTCTCGTCCTTATCCCCCATGGCCCTCCCCTTTTCCCCCTCCCTCCCTCTCTCCCTCCCTCCCTCCCTCCCTCCCTCCACTCTCGACCCCTCCCTCCCTAACTCTCTCCCTCCCTCCCTCCCTCCCTCCAATCCCCAATCCCCCGCCCATCTCCCTCCTACCCTGGCCCTCTCCCTTCCACACGCCCCCCGCCCTCCGCCCACACGGGCCGCCCTCCGCGAGGGCCACGGCAGGAGACCCGCCCGACAGTCCAGCCCGCAGCGGCACACGCAGGGCCGGCCGACCTCCCCCGCGGCAGGCCTCGCCCGAGCCGCCTCCGCCCCCGAGCGCCGCAGCCCCGCGCGAGGAGGCGCCGCCAGAACCGCCCGCGATGGGGTGCGGAGCCCTCCGCGGGCCTCTGCGAGGGGCTCTCCGCAGCGTGCGGTTCGCGTGCTGCGGCGCAGCCGCGGGGTCCGGTGCGCTGGGGCTCGCCGTGGCCGAAGGCGCAGGCGAAGCGCCTGCACCAGAGGGCGTCCTCCTCCCCCTTCTCCCATTCATCCTCCTCCTCCTCCTCCTCCCTCCTCCTCCCCCTCCTCTCTCCCTCCTCCCCCTCTCCTCCCCTCCTCCTCCTTTCCTCCTCCCCCCCCCTCCTCCCCTCCTCCTCCTCCTCCTCCTCCTCCTCCTCCTCCTCCTCCTGCTCCTCCTCCTCCTCCGCCTCCTCCTCCTCCTGCAACCCTCAAGCAGCATCATCTTGACTCAAGCGCTTGCCGCGCGGAGGCACGCGCAGCTCGTGCCGCGATGCCCTCGAGCTGAATGTCCCCATGGAGTGCCGTCGGCAGCAAGGAGCTGCCGCACAGGAGGTGCGGCCGAAGGCTCTACAGGACTCTGAGAATGATGAACGGGCCGTTTCAGAACTGTTTGCTACCCTCATTCTAATCGTCGCACCTGCAATTCTGCTTCTGCTGGTGCTTTTCCCTACTGGCGAAGAGCGTCAAAGTTTGGCAAGGATCTGACCGCCGCCCTGTTTCTCTTCTCGCGTTTTCTACTATGGCCTTCCTAGCAGACGATACTGCTGAGAAACTTAAACTGAAACACGAACCACATTTATGGACTTCCCGAATGAACAAACAAAACTTAAAAGTGTGTGGGGGGCACTCTGGTACCACAACTGGCTCATGAATTCAAACACATTCGCTATAACCCTGCGCACCCGCCGCGAACGACGGCGTCATAGCCATGCGCCCACCTGAAGGTCGAACCATATCTTTGCCTTCGCTACGAAGTGTCAGCGCCTTCGGCTAAATCTGCCGAAGACCGTCGTGAGCCCCCTCCTCGCAGAAACCTGCACTGCACGTGGGGCCGACGCAAGCAGTTGGCAACATCAGACATTTCGGCCCCTCTGATCTTCTGGGCTTCCCCTCATCTCGAGCACCAACTGCCTGGGGTGAAGATGAGACGCTCCCATGGGAACTCGACCTCGGGACCGCTTTTCTGCGGCCGGTTCCCCTGGGTTTCACCCTCTGCCATGAACCCCATGAAACTCCTGGGGCCACACACACACACACCCCTCTGTGTCACCATCCTCTCATGTTCTAAATCCCTCAGTATCACTGGACTATCCCCCGCCTGGCGACCCGTCCTGGAGCTACCCAACCTGTGCTGACCCCATTCCCCCTCCTGTGGGCTCCCCCCCTTTCCCCCCAGGTGCCTTGCGTGCGAATCCCCTGGGGATCATTTCCACTGGGCTGCCCTGCGGGCTACCCTCCCCCAACGCCCTGACCCGACCGTGATGGAGCAGAGGGACGACGAGGGCAGAGGGACCCCACCGCGCGCCTCCCGGCGACAGCGCGACGGCTGGCGACGCCAGCGGCGCGCCATTGGCTGGCCCGGACGCGCCCCCGCACGGCACCTCCTCCTCCTCCTCCTCCGCCTCTTCCTCCTCCCGGGGCGAAGCCGCGAAGGCGGCGCCGCCGAGCGCATCACAGAGGAGCCGCGAAGGCGACGCCGCGCCAGGGCGTTCCGTCGCGGCGCCCTCGCCCGCCGCCGCAGCGGCTGCTTCGGGCGCCGCGGCCGAGCGAGACGCGCCTGGCGGCAGGCTCATCGCAGGCTCTCTCGGCAAGACGAAGCCAGGATGAGGATCAACTCGGACAAGGACAAATCGGAAATCTCTGAGACCCGGCGGTTCTGGAGGATGTACCCAGAAAGCTCTGAGAGCGTTCGGGAACGCTCTGGAACATAGGAGGAGGAGGAGGAGGAGGAGGAGGAGAAGGAGGAGGAGGCGGAGGAGGATTTGTCCTTGTCCTGGCCCCGCCCGACCCGGCCCGGCGGAGGCGGCGGAACGGGGGGGGGAGCAGACGGCCTGCGGCCGACTCTGGGCAGGGGCGCGGCGAAGGCGAGCGCTCGGGCCCGGTGCCCCCGCTGGGTCGCCCAGCGCTCTGCGCGGTCGGCCGGCGCAGGCGACGGGGGGTCAACGGGAGACCCGGCCGACACAACCGTTGCCTTGGCCAGACCCTCTGCAGTCGGACGCGGTTGGACAGGACACGCGAGAGGACGCAAGACCCTTCCGAGGGCCACACTGCCACAGGAATGTAGGAAGCATGGGTCGCGAGACACAGGACGCGAGGGTACCCTTGGTCTGGCAGGGTCGACCTGCCAATCCGGGCCGCCTGTAGGGGGGGCGGGGGGGCAGGGGAACGGGCACAGGATTGCAGGGGGGAGCAGAAAAGGGAGGGGGAGGCAGAGGGGGAGGGGCAGAATGAGAGGGCGGGGCGGAGGGGAGCAGAGGAGTTGCGGGACCCGTGAAAGCGACAGGCAGGGGAATGGGGGAATGGGCGAAGGGTAGGGGGAGCAGGAAAAGCGCAGGAAAAGGGATAACAAAGGGAACGGGGGGAAAGGAGGAAGGGGGAAGGGGGTGGATGGGGGGGAGAAGAGGAAGGGGAGGGGTGGAGAGGGGTGGAGAAGGGGGGAAAATAAGGGAAAAGGGAGGGAAGGGGGGAGATGGGGGGGGAGGGGAAACGGTGAGGCCACACGATGCTGACGCGATGCCCGCTCACCGATGCGGCAGCGAGTCGAAAACCCGTTGAAAAGACAGGAAGGCGGGCCAGCGGCACCCTGACAAGGAGAGGCTGAAATTCCCTGCGTGGGTCGCACAGGTATCACGCGGCACGCAAGCCTTCACAATGGAAGCGGTGTTAATACCATAATTCACCCGACGACCCCGTATTCGGCATTGACTGAATTTGTTGGGAAGTTAACACGATGTCAGCGGGAAACAAGCTGTTGGGTGCAAGCTATGCCCCAGGACGATCGATTGAAGACGGCGAACCAACCGGTGTCGCCCATCTGACCACCGCGGCGCTGACGCCAGAGAGAGCAACGTGGCGACGTCGCCGTCATAGAAACTCTACATTCCCGGTCTGGTCCGGGCCTCAGCAGCCCAGAAGTCACTCGGGGCGCTAGGACCTAAAGCGCGGGGGGGGCCGGGCGAGAGGAGGCCGCCGTCATAGTCCGCCATAGCCCGCCAGCATCCAATTGTCATCCCAATTCTCCCTCTCTAATGAAGAACTGGCTCCTCGCAACACTCCCCCCCCCACACCTATTCCTCCTCCTCCCCCTCCCCTTCCCGGAAGTCAAGCAGGAGCTTTTTGTTGCACGAGAAGGCGAATGGTACGTGAAGCAAAATGTCGCCCGTAACGCCAACACGGGGCCAAGAGAAAGGCGCCCAAAGCGGCCCGTTTGAATTTCATAACACACATGCGAATAGCCTGCTCACGAGTCGAAGCGCCATAATCTACGCCCGCCCCAATTCAGCTGATGAGCCGAATGTGGGGACGGATGAGATAAAAATTGCAAAATCGAATGAGCAACGGAGCAGGTCTATACCACGACACAACGCATCGAGGCCAGTGCTCCATCTGACCAAGTCAAGACGTGAAACTACAGCACTTAAGTGCATGACTGGCGCAAACAGACTACTACGACTTGGGCGTGAGCGTGCAGGGGTCCCAAAACGCGAGACAGCCATGCTTTTCGCGAAACACCAACTCACGCATAATGATTCACAGTTTCTGTAAGCAAACACACGGGTCTCATCTTATCCTGAGCTCAAGACCCCCGCAAAGCAGCGCGCGTTGACAACCTGGACATGGATAAAGCGAGCACGCCGTAGCGGGCAGCTCGTGTCTTCCGTTAACAATATGAGGATTGATATCTCTAGCATGCATGGGCACTTATATCCTATTTTGACCACTTTGATGTCAACTCGTCGCACCTTCTCTTCTACCGAAACTGACAAACCTGAATGTGCCAGGCTTTTCCTGGCACTCGCAGGCCTGCAATGGCAATTGCTGCGCCGGTATCGTTTGACGAAATGCCACCATCAACATCAAAGTGCTTGAGAACCGCTTGCAGCCCCAACGCTACCGAAGCACCTTTAACCATTTCGAAATACTCCGCTCTCCCAGAAAGTATTGCCTCAACATGCTGAGTAGAGCTCAACGGACTAATTAGATTGTCGATTCTCGATTCCCGCGTCCTCTTGCATCCTGCATATTCAGTGTCTCCCCATGCTGGTAACTTCCTAGGACGTTCTTGATGCAGACACGGATACCCACCTGCAGTGGTTCTTGAAGAACTTACCCAATCTGCAAAACCAGTCCCATGCCTCTGGGTTCGGGGCTGACATGGAGTGCGCGAGCGCCTTGACCGAAAATTGCATATCCGAACGCTCTTGCGCTAGATAGTTCGCCCCGGCCATCCAAACCTCGCACCCCTTAACTCCGCGACTTGGCAGGGGCCACATCAGCGCCCCACGTTGATTTTACAAGTCTTCCACGCGCGCCTGGTTCGCGATCTCATTCGGGCAACCTGGCGACGGCGCCCGTTCTGCCTCGATGCAAGAGCATCTCCGCCTAACACATTTAAACTTCCGCTCGCGCCCTCTCTCGCGCCCCCCTCGGCAATGACCCATTCCATCGACAAGAGCCATGGAGACCAACGGTTGCTGCGCCTCCTGTGGAGAGAGGGCTGCAGAAATGCCCCTTCTGAAGAACTGAATATAACGCGCTGGGCCACCAGCAGGGATCGGCACTCAGGATTGGACACGTCGCCCTCCTCGGCATCGACCCACCCCGCACCTATGGGGGCTCTGCCAGCAACGGCACGGCAGCCCCCCCCCCCATATTTTCTCATTCACCTCGCGCTTCCCAAGTTGATCCACCTCCTCCTGTTGAGTATATGATGTGAGTTATGGATCGAACTCGATTCCCGAGACATCACCCCATGCCCGTACTTCACCGTCTTCGCGATGAACCCCACATAGGTCATCCTTGGCATGTGCCAGCACCTCAGCAAAATTCCAACATGCCACGCATGCCCATGGAAATATCAGCCAGCCTCGGTGTCGGCACGCCCCGCAAATCCACGGACGCGGCTGGATATCCCAAGTAAGCCAGTAGCTGAACCTGGCGCCGACATTGCACGCACCTCCACTGCACTTGCACTTCTGCCCCTTTCCCTAAATATCAGGGACCCCGCCCTATCCTCGAGTGCGCGGCCGGCGTCTCGGCCCTAAATAACTCCGCGCAGACGCGAACTCCACGTTTGCCCTGGGCTGCCTGGGAGAACAAGACGAGCGCGCACCGGGCATCATTGATTTCCACTCTTCCGCCCGGCCCCATCCAATTTACATCTGGGCCACAAAATCTATAGTAGCACCCTGATCGGTCGTCGGCAATCATCTGTTTAACCAGACCTTCGAGCACAGCTCGCCATAATCGGTCAGGGCATACCTGCGATCTCCTCGTTCTGTTTCCCCTAGATGACTCAGTGCTTCGATTCTGACCTCGACGCCTCGACCTGAGGGCCATTTCCGATGCATGGTCTGCTAGTTTCGTAGTTTCAAACAGCGCAGGGATTTCTGCGAGCGCCCCCCCCCTCGCCTCCGGTCGCGACGGCATGGGTCGCCATCGCACGTCTGCACACCTTCGCGTTTAAACAGTCTCTTCAGAGGCGACGCGGTCCAATTAGAGGCCCTCGCAGGGTGTTCTAAGAAAACAAATAAACAATTCCTTCTTTGATTCTCGCATAATTTCAGCGCGAACCTGAGGCGCTTAATCCCATGGCCAGAGATGTCCCGCATCTATTTCGTCACAGATCTTGAGAAATGAAATGAAGGCTTGCGGCCCGCTGGAGGCTGCACTCGCTGGACAAGCGATTGCCAATAAGGCTGTTTTGCTCTTGGCGGTTGTCTTGGCGTCTGCTAGCATCGCCGCGCACTTGAAACCACACGGGCCCCTGCACCCATCGCTCGCGGTTGAACCCATGGCCCACCATGGCGCGAGGATTAAGTCTCAGAAAAATGCGACTGCACGTGTCGATGGCCTTCGCAACACAACCGTGCCACCCCATTGATATCAGGGATTCGTCGATATCCAAATCAGCACTGGGCAACCACCACCCCGCTGCATCGGCGTCGCAACCCATCCAACCCGGCGCGCGCCCCATCGGAATTCATGTCACCGTGTGATTCGCCCACCTGATCGGGTTTGTGTCCTCGCATGTTCTCGTCGCCAGGCCCCCTTTTCCCCTCCGACTTCAAGCCAGCATCGCTGCATCTCCTCGCCCTCGCCCCCGCCCCCCCCACCACTTAGGGGTTCGTCGTCATCCCTGCCAGAGATGAGATAATGCGGAACCCAGCCCGTCCCGCGCCAGGTCCTCGGCGCCCCCATTCACCGCCATCTCCCCGATCGCTGGTTGCATCCTCCATCTCGCCAGTTCCCTAACAAGTTACACGCGTTCGTCTCTGATTGCTCAATCGCTCGGGACTCTCGCCCCTCTCTCTCTCTCTCTCTCTCTCTCTCTCTCTATTTCTCTCTCTCTCTCTCTCTCTCTTTTTCTCTCTCTCTCTCTCTCTCTCTCTCTCTTTCTCTCTCTCTCTCTCTCTCTCTCTCCCTCTCTCTCTCTCTCTCTCTCTCTCTCTCTCTCTCTCTCTCTTTCTCTCTGACGCGAAGCGCCCCGCCTCGGAGCCAGTCTCCCAGGCCTCGCGAGACCGGAGGGGTCCCAGCAGGACCCTACTGATTCGCGTCACCTCTTCCCTCCCACCAGAGCGCCCGCCGCAATGGCCCCCGCCAAGCCGGAGCGCCGTCGCTCTTCCAAGCAGCCGCCGAGCTCACGTCCTGCAGCTGAAGGATCCCTCCTCCAACGCAAACAGGACTGCATTGCAGCCTTCAAGCAAGCGGGGTCTGACCGCCCCACAGCCGCATACAACGGGCTCGCCGAGCTGAACGCGGACGAGCTGCAGGCCACGTACGACATGCACAAGACCAACACCAAGAAGCTCGGCAGTGCCTTGATTCGCATGTGTGCCGCCAACCAGATCAGCTACACGCTGGATCACCACCAGCGCAGCAAGCCTAAGCGCAATGGTGGTGACACATCCTATCCACCAGCTGCGTCCGCACGTCTTCAGGCTGCGGACGCCAAATTTATTGCCTTGGACCCGGCCTTCTGGAAGGTCCCAGTCCTGGCCGAACCCACATCACTCGACGACGGCAAGACGTACAAGCCCAGCATCAGCCTCCACGACTACGAGAGTGGCGAGCGGCTGCTGCAGCACCATCTCGAGCAGGGTAAGCGTACCACGGGTCAGCTCGCGATCGCTGTCATGGGCCCAAAAAACGACAACTACGTCGGCACCGAGCTCGCCGTCCCCGTGCTGAAGCGCCACCCCAAGGCGCCCAATGTGGTTCACACGCACGTCCCCGTGACCGTGTACCAGCTGGGCACCAAGGAAGTCGCCTGCACGGAAAAAGTAGCCGTCGCCACCATTGATCCTGCCGACCACGTATGCTGGATTCGGGTGACCATACATGAAACCGAAGCCATCGCCGCAGTCCCCTCCATGCATCAGGCCTTCGAGGATCAGTTTTCGGGAGGCGCCCCCGTGAACGGTGGTCCACGCGCCAAGGGTCCTTTCCGAGGGGATTCCGCTCCACAGGACAAGGCGCGCCAAAACCAAAAGCACAGGGAGTCTAAGAAAGACGCTCGCCGCCAGGAGCTCGACAGTCAGCTGCAGGACACCTTCAAGGCCCTTTTCCACGGCAACTTTAAAGCCGTCACTATCCTCGAACCCTGCAAAAGTCTAGGCAGGTACGGATCTGGCGTCGGAAAAAGGTCCCTGGCTGCCACTTTCGGCGTCAGTCTTCAAGCAGTTGACAAGGTCTTGGCGGGTTCGGGGCAACTCGGCGCCACCTACGACCTCAGCAACGTAGGTGCGGACGAGCCCACGGCAGACAAGTACCAGACCGTGTGGTTCCCCGAGGACCAGCCCATCACGATGGCAGAGGCGTTTCAGAAGTCGGTGGACTTCAAAGCCCTAGGAGTCGTCAGGCACGGCAAGTCAGGCTTATTGGGGATCCGTGTTGCACGTGGGTCAGACGCCGCCAAGGCCGCTGCCGTCAGCATCCGTGGCTGCGAAGCCACTCTCGCCAAGACGCGATACCGCATCACGGGCATTGCGGCACGCCATGCCACGCTGACTCAGCTT